GGGCGGCACAGTTACCAATTAAAGCGTCTTCTATTAGTTTCAGGATATTAAATCAGTGCCAGAAAACAAATGCAATGAAGTCACGAGTGTAACATCTCACATTGTATGCCTACGCCAACAGGTGTAGTTCCAACAAAGCAGATAACACCAAACCGTAACAATAGAGCACAATTTTCACTTGATGTAGGCTTAAATGCGCTAAGTTTTTGAACTTCGATATATCTACATGTTTAAATAAAGTCAGTACTTTAGTGCAACTGTCTTATTGCACTACTGCACCAGTATTTTGTTAAAAACAATTATATTTCACTTATAAAACATTACATATGTTTATATATTATTACTATTTACAAACAAATTTATTATTTTCAGTTATTTTTCTGAAACTAAGAACAGTAAATAAAAAATGTAGAAAACAATGCATTCGTTTGCTGAGCCTTGTCGAATTTCAAACATAGAGGATGCAAAACAAAATAATTTTTTTAGATTTTATATATATGCATTTTGAAATAACAAAAAAATATAAATTGCTATATCAATACCACAAAATTCCACTGTAACTTAACAGGCTTACTTGCTAAGCTGTTTTTGAATCTAAAAAATATCATTTTCGATCACCATTTGATCTTACCTCCTCTCTTGAACTTGAAAAAAAGGACGGTGTTACGACAGCGGAAGTCGCGTGACTTAAGAGCATGCGCGCTGGAGTTTCTAGAGTATATAAGCCGGATATAGATTGAAAAGAGATATTCGAGTCAAGCGAGCACTAGGCACCATAAGTAAAGTGTGTGAATCGCTATGAATTATAGCGTTTGTTTATAAAAGTAGTTAAGTTTAAAGTGACTGTGGAAATTAAGCATATTACAAAGTTTGTAACGAGAAAGAATAAACTAGTTTAATTAAGAAAGGACTTGTATTGCTGAAGTTTCTCGGAAATAATTTTTACGGGAAATTATCAAACAAGCAGACACATAACAAACTGGTGTCAGAGTGGGATGGAAAAGAAAAAAGAAGATGGAAACGAGAAGTGTCAAATCAAACTACACCTTAGCAGATCTGATGGCAGCAATACAAGAACAGCAAAAGAATTAGAAAATAAACAAGAAGAGAGATTACAGTAGTGGTTGGAGGAGAAAGAAAATAAAATGACGATTGGGA